TTTCCCTCTCCTAAGAGGAGATAAGAAGGCCAAGCTGGCAATGCTATGCCACAAGGCTACTCAAGGCCCCAGCTTCCTTCCATCTTACTTCTTTGCATTCCATGGGGTGGTGTTCCCCTTTGTTCCAGCCTGAGGGACTAGGGGAGGTACTGGACAGGCAAATTCCTGGTCAACAGAGATGCAAAATGGCTTGCATCTCTACAGCCTACACGTGAGAGCTGGTGACTTATCTGCACCACTTCCGGGGAGTTAGGAGATGGGGGTCTCCAGCTGGGTACCATGAGCCAGAAGGAAGGGGAGAACAGATTCTGGGGACACAGACAAGTGGTCTGGGACCCTCAGGAAAGTGGCACCCCGGAGATCTGCAGGAAGTAGCAGAATCAGAATCAAGATCTGGGGCTGAGCAGTCGCCACCAAGTCTGAGAGGCCTCAGGGCTTCAGAGAGTTTGGACTAACAGCCTGTCCCCAGGCTGTGGGTGGCTTAATCTGCTCAGCTTGGGCACATCTAGTACAGGTTCTCAGTGGTGGCTGACTGTGACCTCAGGTCTGATAGGACTCAAATATTTCTGTGACTCACCACAAGGGTAGCCTAAGCACAGGGGCTCAGTGCCTGGCTTGGAGAAGCCCAGGCAAGTCCGGGTAACAACGGCCGTGGAGGAAAATGTGCTTCCAGGGGGGAGCTTTGAGCGGGTAGAACCTCGTGGACTGCGTGGATGCTGAGTGAGGGGGACCCCTCTGGCCTCTCTAATCATGGGGCGGGGCAGGCAGACCCTACTAGAGGTTGGGGAGGGGGAGCGGGAGTGCTCCCCCAATGGCTCTACATACCTGGGCCCCTGCCTGCAGCATCAGGACGACTGTTTCTCAGATGCCTGTTCTGTTGGGACATGTGGTTGTAGCTGCAAGGGGACCACCTGCATGTGGGTGTGTTCCCTCCCGTGAGCTTGTCGGGAAACAGTCTGCTCTGTGGGAGTGAGTCACAGTGCTCAGCCCCACAGAGCAGCCAGGGTGGGGAGCCTGGGAAGCTCGCCCGCCAGCAGCACCAGCTTCGAGAGCGCTTGGCGGCACCTGGCTTCTCAGAGCCAGCCCAGCATCCCTCCAGGTCTCCGACTCTCAGCGGACAGGTGATCAGAAGGGTGGAAGAGGGAACAGATGACCCCTGTTGGTGTACAAATCGGGGTTCAGAGTTTAATTGTGAAGTGATAGGTCATGCTAGCTTTAGTTGCTGGGTATCCATAGCCTCAGAGGTGGCCATCGGTGCTCTTGGGACCCTTAGTGAGGGATGTAAAGAAGTGAAGCCATCTGGAGATGTGGGGTTCCCTATAGCCTTACTCTGGCTGCTGGGGGAAGCCCACAAGATCACCAGCAGCTCAGGGGGCTTTGCCATAGTCAGTCCTTAGAACAAGCTACTCAGCTAGATAATTCAAAGAGTGGGAGGAAATACTTGAACTGGGCAAACTGGGGCTAGGGTGGTGTATGCATGGAGGGCAAGGCCAAGTTCAGAATCTCTGAGCTTGGTTGTACCGTGGAAACTTTCTGGTCTGACCCATTTCTCTCCATGGCAGAGGGCTGGAGGAGAAGATGCAAACCCTTGTAGCTTAATAGTTTTTCTTTTATCCCTGTCACGTAAACAATTATACAAATAACCATTTAATTAACTAGATGGTTGTGATAAGTATGATGGAGGGAAAGTGCAGAAGGCCATGCCAGACTGCCACAGGGAGGTCTAACCTAGTCTTAAGTGCAGAGGCCACCCTGATGTTCAATCCGAGGCCCAAGGAAGCCATTGCAGATAGGAGAGTTGATTGGCAACATCTGATTTGCATTTTTAAAAATAATTATTTTATTTTATTTTTTTATATTTGACAGGTAGAGTTAGAGACAGAGAGGGAGACAGAGAGAAAGGTCTTCCTTCCACTGGTTCACTCCCCAAATGGCTGCTACAGCTGGAGCTACGCCGATCCGAAGCCAGGAGCCAGGTGTTTTTCCTGGTCTCCCATGCGGGTGCAGGGGCCCAAGGACTTGGGCCATCCTCCACTGCCCTCCCAGGCCACAGCAGAGAGCTGGACTGGAAGAGGAGCAACCGGGACTAGAACCTGGCACCCATGCGGGATGCCAGCGCCACAGGGGTTCAATAATCAAAAAGATTATGGAAAATGCACATTATGAAATAACTACGACATTGTGATACAGCAGGCTAGGCCACCGCTTGTGACACCTACATGCCATATCATAGTGCTGGCCGGTTCAAGGCCCAGCTGCTCTGCTTCCAACCCAACTTCTTCTAATAGGCCTAGGAAGGCAGCAGAAGGCGGCCCAAGTGCTTGGGCACCTCCCATTCGTGGGGGAGACCAGGATGGACTTCTTAGCTTCTGGCTTCAGCCTGGCCGAGATCTGGCATTTGTGGCCCTTTGGGGAATGGAGCAGTGATGAAAGCTCTGTCTCTTTCTCTCTTGTCTTGCCCTCTTTCCCTGTTGCTCTGCCTTTCAAATTGATTAATTAA